GAAAGGAAAGACGCTCGACTCTCTACTACCCCTCTACCCTGATTCTCGATCTCCACACTCTCCTATCAAGGATCATATCCCCGGTAAGCTAAAGTTGTGCTATGTCTTGCTTAATCACCTCCCTCCAATACTTTTTCGGCTTACCTCTACCCCTTTTCAGGCCAACCATTGCCAATCTCTTACATCTCCTCGTTAGGGCATCCGGACCTCTCCTATTCACATGCTCGAACCATCTCAACTTCGCTTCCCCCATCTTGTTCACCACGAAGGCCACACCTATCTTACCCTGAATATCTTCATTTCTAACCATATTCCTCCTAGTATGCCCACACATCCATCTCATCATCCTCATCTCCGCCACTTTCATATTTCCCAAGTTGACACGACTCATAATCTAGTATAGACAATCTAGGCACCATCTTCTGAAGCTTGGACAAACTCGGAGGTTCGAAACGTCTGTGAATTAGGTCTAGAGGATCTTTAACTGAACATGTTGTGGAGGGATTGAGCGAGGCAAGGTAGTAAAGGCCTTGTGAGTCACGCCCTATGCCAATCATATGTCTCGTACTGCGGTTCTACATAACAAAAGAATCATCAATAAAACATATACTATAATGGAGGGCATGAGTCAACTGACTACCAGATGCAAGATTAAAACGACAGCCAAGGACATAAAGAACATAATTTAAAGTGACAGAGGATAGTAGATTAGCTTGTCCAACTCCTTTTGCTTTTGTTTAGACTTCATTGGCTAAAGTAATATTGGGAAGAGATTGTGAATAAACAATATTTGACAAAAGTAACCTATTATCAGAAATATGATCAGAGGCGCTTGAGTTCATGACCCACGATCCAAGAGAAGTAGACTAGGAAACACAAGCAAAAGTATTATCAGCAACAGAAGTATCAGTTTGAGCAACAAAGGCTACTTATAGAGGTGCATGCTTACTTGCTCGATAATGAAGGAACTCATTATATTTCCCTTCAGATAAAGAAAACACTAGTTACCAGTAATCTCGGTTTGAGCAACATGAGCATTTTTAGGTGGTCGAACATGCAAAGAATACCACACATCACGAGTGTGTCCAAGCTTATTACAATAAGAACACTTGGGTCGAGATCTTCCAAAACGACCTCCTTCTCGTCTATTCTCCATAGTCTGAGATGCCCGATTTTTCACTGTCTAGGATGCTATAACGGTTGAGTCAGTTGTCTGTGATGAGATTGTAAGGCCCCGTAAAAATTTTCCTAAAAAACCCGGATTTCGTGATGCCGAAGTAGGCTTAGAAAGCTCGCCGCGGTTCGGACTTTTTTGGATTGAACAGTGCCTGGGGAGTTGAAGAAAAATATTGGGCAGAAGTAGGCATTTCTGCGGCCGCAGAAATACTGTGCGGACCTCAGAATGGTCGCAGACTGAGGCAGTTTTCTGGGGTGTTTTTTATGTCAATTTCGCGACCAATTATGCGACCGCATAACCGTTTCGCGGGCCGCACTTTGGTCGCATAGTCATCCTTAGACTTTTGCAGAGGGAGGTTCTGCGGCGCATTATGCGACCGCAGTACAGGTATGCGGGCCGCAAAACGGCCGCAGAGTGAAGCAGGCTAGCCCAGTTCCCAAAGCCACCTTTCGCGGTTATTTCGCGGACCGCATAATCATTATGCGATCGCATATGCGACCGCAGAACCTGTTCCGGAGCTTTATTTTTTGGGTTTTTAAACCCGACCCTGTTCCGTTAAAACACATCCCATAGACTATTTTGAGCTTATTTTTTATATCTTTGGAGTGAGAGAGAGAGTCCTAGAGGGAGAAAGTGATCCTCATCAAAAATTTCTCTTCAATTCTTGCTTAAGCCTTTGAAGATTATCAAGAGAAGCACCCTAGGTCTTCATCCTAAGAGGTAAGATTCTATCACCAAGCTCTTAAATTCGAAATATAACTAGAATGGGCAATTAGTAAGGTAGTTCATGGGGATGAGAGTGCTTACCTTGCATGCATGTATTCTTAAGGTACGTGGGGAGGTTGTGAGTTAAAGATAGAAAAAAATGGGGTGTGGGATGGTGAAGTCTTTCATAAAAGGGCCATGGAACCTTAATACACACATAGTGTTTGATAAAATGCTCAAGTGAGCTAGAATCATGATCGTTTTCCTAATTTTTTGTTCAATTTTTGCTATATTGCTAAAATAGATTGAAGTTGCTAATATTCCGGAACATATTAGAGTTTTAAGAAGCTCAATTGAGGTATGTTGGCTAAACCCCCTCTTCTTAGAATTGAATCCCATGATATTCATGAAATCGATGCTAGTCCCAAAATAAACGTCCTAGAAATTGCTATCCCGAATGTGCTTGTTCTGAAAATATATGTGTAATATGTATTCCCATGCTTTCATCATGTTATCTCGTCATCTTAGGAAATGTTCAAAACTTAGAATATGTGCTAAAAATGCCGAAAATTCAAGTCAAATTCGATTAAAGACTGTTATGCCAAATTGTGTGAAAAGCCTCTATGTGTCTTACATTCTAAATTGCTCACATGTGAAATCAAAAGTCTTGAATGAAAAACCGTGTTGTTATTGATGATAGTCATAATGTTGGAATGTGGAAAAGAACTTGAATCATGAAATACAGCCAAGCGCCAAGAATAACTTTATAATTGGGGTCACTCGTGCCATTGTATTGAAAAGATGGGAAAGAAATATGAATTGAGATGGCTGATTGAAAAGGGGTGATGTCTCAAATGAGATGGCTTAGCCGATCGGGCAGAGATCAGACTCCGTGTAAGGACACGGTGGTATTGTGGATGAAATTGTGAATATGGTTGATGTCTCAAATAAGATGGCTTAGCCGATCGGGCCGAGATCGGACTCCGTGTAAAAACACGGTGGTATTGTGGATTCTGGCATATTGGCACTAAAAACCACTCAACCTAATAACGTGGAAATCGACTTAAAAATCTATGTAATCCTTAACTTGATGTTTTAGTGTTATTTAAAGCTCATATTGCATTCTTGACTGTTTCCCCATGTATTATTGTTCATTCTATTAAGACAGTGTTTTAGTTTTACATACTAGTAGTATTCGACAGTACTAACGTCCCTTTTGCCGGGGGCGCTGCATCTTTAAATGGATGCAGGGGGTTCCATAGCAGACAGTGTTGATCACAGATAGTGTTGCATCCTCTTTCAGCAGACTCGGTGAGCCCCATTTCATTTCGGGGTCATGTATTGTACCTTTTGTTTATATTGTGGTCACTTTTTGAGGTATAGCCGGGACCTTGTTGCCGGCACCATCTTTACTCTCTTTTGTATCTTTAGAGGCTCCGTAGACACTATGTGGGTTGTATATGGGTGTTAGAAAGATCAACGGATCATGTTGTATTTTGGGTTCTTGTTCCACTCAGTCATGAAGATGTATGTATTTTGAAACTTAACAGTAACAAAATGAAACGACTTAGTAATGTATATATGTATGAACTTTCTACTGCCTAACTAATGAGAGCATGCCTTCTCTGGATCATAGGTGAGTCGGGTAGATAGTGTCTAGCAGGCTTGCTCGACCGGGTCCACTCGGTTGAGCGCCGGTCGCGCTCCCCGAGGTTGGGGCGTGACAGAGATCACTGTGTGACTGGGCGCTGCAGCAACGCAAAGTAATTGAGAGAATAATTCATCAACTGTAGGATGACAGTTAGACTAGCCAGAATCGGATCGCATACTGAATCAAGGTCATTAGGAAATCCAGCGAGTTCAAGAACTAGAAACATCTTCTATCGTTACTCTTGTTGCTTTTCGACACTAGCAAAAGCTGCATCAACTTCTCAAATTTCTCCATGAATGCTTGTACTTGTCCCAAGTAAGTAGACATTCAATTCCTGTTTCTTTAAATTTGTCATCCGCGATATCACATCATAGAAACGAGATATGTCATTAGTGTATAAAGTGTGAGCCTTTTTCTAAACGAAATAACATGTCTAGAATGGACAAACAAAGGCATAGACATGGGATCAATAAATCACCACATGATACTGCATAATTGAGCATCGTTCTTCTCCCAAAATACTTTGGCTTTTTCATCTCCTGCTCTAGCCTTTTTGGTTAAGTAATATTGAATACCTTGACCCTTGCACCACAACCCAACAAAGGAAGGTTGTAGCAAGGGCAGTAAGGGTTCCGGAGTTATCATAACACTTGAACTTCCAATTCATGTGTTTTTGGAACCAAAAATATCCAACCATAATGACATGATAGATTTGAAGATTTTTCTAGCAAAATATCACCAAACACAAAAAAAGAATCAAAGGATAATCACAGTAGCTCGCCAGAAAATTTCAAACTTCCCGGAGTCTGTCTGTCTTGAAGAATTTTTGTCAAAATCTGGTCGAAATGTGCTTTACGCGTCGGCGCGCGTATTAGACGTGCCGGCGGATTCGAGGTTCTTACTGGCGCGTGGAGGGGTCTTTGCCGGAGAGCCTAACTGGGGTTTGGCCGCCTGTGATAGGGGAACCTTGTGCTAGCGTTGGATTGTGCACAACACTGAAGAAAAGGGAGATAATGCAAAACAGCCCTAAAAGGTCACCGAAAATTGAAGCACGGCAACTGCTTGGCAGGGTTTTTGTCTGAATGTTTTCTCACTGCCGCTCAGATACCATGTGAGAAATAATGATACGGAAAAACTGTATTATTGATAGCCCTATTTATCTATAATATTACATAGTACTACACAGCTATTTTCTGATGTGGGGCAGTATATATTACTACTATCTATAAGATATAACCAGAAATAAGAAGCTAAGTCTAAAAGGAGAATCAACTAATTTGGTCAGGAAGTGCATAAAATGTTGTCACATATCATAAAGATCGATTCACTACTAGAATTTCATAAAGATAGATTCACCACTAAAATTTGACAACATTAAGTAGTCATTGAAGTATCATGGAATGATATTTTCTTCTTGAGTAAAGTAAATGCCATCATGATGGAAGAATTAACAGTAGTAATACTTACAATGTATTCATCCTCTGCAGAAAGAGTAGTTAGAGTTATCTCAGGTTCCGCAGTTACAGCTGGCTTCAGATCATCATCACCGATAGACCTAGTGACCTAGTGAAAGTAAAATTAATCAGATTATTTAATGATAATAAAACTTCTATATTTTCTAAGATCCTAAATCACCAATTGTTTATTTCCCCACAATAAGGCCTAAATCACCAACTTTTAAGATAATATATCCTATTTATCACTGGTCTCAGCCGGATACTGAACCAGATTAAATTGCCACTAGTCTAGAGGTGTTTAGCACCCCTTCATATAATTTTAAACTTGGAAAATTTTCCATACTAATATAACACAAGTCATCAACTAACCATTCGCCATACAATACATGAAGAATGAGTCAAGGTACTGCATTAATTGGCTACTATGATATTAATACATTTATAACGTTTATAAGAACTTGTCATTGAGCTAATGATATCTACATATTTTATAACTGCTCTTGAAGGAATATAACACAGACACCACTTTCCCTCACTAAAATGGATCGGGTAATGTGCATATACATTTCGTACATGCAC